CTCCCGCGCAGGCCGGGAGCTCACGCGCACGCCGCCGGGTGATCGCAGACAGGCAGGTAGCTTATTTTTTTATTTTTGTTTTGTTTTGTTTTCCAGGTCCATAACAAGACTTTATTATGGGGAGGATAGGCTGGGCTGCTCTGAACAAAGGAGAGAAAGCAATATGGCTGAGACAGGGAGTGCTTCTTATAGGACTGGGATTGAATGATGTAGTGGCTAGGGATTGGGGGATCTGGTGACATCACTAGGAGGGGCTTGTGTCCTCACTAGTTAGGGACATCATAAGGTGAAGGAAATCTAACATTCCAGGCTTTTGTTTTATGGTTATAGGGCAAAGGTCTCTTCTTCTGGAGCTGCTTCAGGCTGACAAAGGGGTGAAGGTTGAGGCTAAACCTGGATCTGGTGGGGGCAGTGGTTGGAGGGGGCTTCTTCCCTCTGTAGCAGTGGCCAATACCCTGCCACGATGAGTTCTGTGACTGTCTGGTTGGTAAATCCACTCATGCATTCTTTCAAGAAAGTTTTGAAAATAGCAAAACAGACAGGTCCCTATTGTGATTAAAAGACATATACAAGCCATTGGACCCAGCAAGGGAAGTGGCTAAGGCATAATTTGGTGAAGCTAGGAATAGCTTTGGTCTTACCTTATGACACACTTCTGTAATTCTTTTTTTTTCTTTTTTTTTTTTTTTTTTTTTTTTTTTTTTGGTACCAGGGATCAAACTTGGGACCTAGCCCCACTCTTATAATTATTTTAGAATAAAATTAAGTACAGACCCAATATTAATGTCTTAGTCACTTTCTCATCAGCGAGATACAATACCAAAAACTCATGACTTAAAGGTGGAGGGGTTTATTTTTGGTTTTTAAATGATTGAGAAAGGTCTGATGGAGAAATCTGCTTACCTCATGGCAGCCAAGGAGCAGACAGTGAAGGCAGGAAGCACAGAGGAATGTATGGTATCTCTTTCTAGATCATTCTCTGAGTGATCAGCCCTTTCTACCTTTTCAAACTGGGAATACCTTCTTGACAGCACATAGTACCAGCATGATCCAATCACCTTCCAAAAGCCAAATCTCTGAACACATGAGCATTTTGAAGACATTCTAGATTTAATGCATAGCTATTGTGCATTTAATCTATAGAATTTCTCAAATTATATATAACTACAAGTTGGTACTACCTATGTTTCAATCTATGTCTCCCCAACACCACTACCTTCATCATCACTGGAAATAGCATTTTACAATGTGTCTATGTACTTAACTATTTAAGATTCCATATATATGTGAGATTATGTCATATTTGTCTTTCTGTGCCTATTACACTTCACATATTTTCCTCCAGATTTATCTCATATATTTTCACAAATGGCATGATTTTATTTTCAAGCCTGAGTAATATCCCACTGTGCACATATGTACTGCATCATTACTTTATCCATTTACCTTATTAATGGATACTAAAGTTGATTATACATCTTACTGGAATAATGCAGTGAACATGGGAAATCAGACATCTCAGAGGTATTTGCGGAGAAGTTCAAGCCTGGCTAGGCCAGGTGAACCACACTCCTGTCTTCTGAGCTAACTCAGAGACTTTGCTAAGGCTGAGCTAACTCACCTAAGTGCATAGGTGCTGGGTCCAACAGGCTACACTTCTTCCCCTGGTCTGCAACTCCTTTCGCCTTGCCCAAGAAAGATCACTCCACTTTGTCTCCAATAAGATATTGCCAAATGTTAAATGCTCCTCCCATGCTCCTCCCCCATGGTTGTCCCTATATAATCCTGTGCATTTCCTGAATAAAGCAGAAGAGTTCCAGAAACTTCCCTGGAGTGTGCTTGGGGATTCTGCGCCTTACCCTCCCAGTCCGAGCTCCTGAACCTTGTTCCACGAGTGGGCTTGCAGACAACAAGAGGTATTGATATACCTGGGGTGAGGTGGAATCTCAGCATTGTTTACATTTGCATCTCTCAAATGAGCAGTGATGCTGAACATTTTTTCATATGTTTATTTGCTATTTCTACTTCTTTCAGAAATGTCTGTTCATTTCAGATGCCCATTTTTGGATTGCATCTTTAAATTGGGGAGGTCTGATTTTTATAAGTTCTTTATGTGTTCTAGATAGTAGGCATTTTTCTAAGGAACAGCTGGTGAAAATTTTTCCCATATTGTGGGTTGTCTCTTCACACTGTTGGTTGTTTTTCTTGCTGTGATAAGCTTTTTAATAAGAAGAGATCACATTTGTTGAATCTTTGTGCTACTTCACAGGCAATTGAGTGAATCTGTTCATGAAATTTTTTCCTACAGCAAAGTCTTCAAGAGTTTTACCTAATCTCTCTTCCAGTGGTTTTGTGTTTATGTTTTGGTATTTATATCTTTAATCCATTTCAGTTTTAGTTTAGTGCATGGTGAGATATATAGGTCTAGTTGTAATCTTTGACAAGCTGAAACTCAGTTTTTCCAGCACCATTTATTAAAGGGGCTAACTTTCCTCTACTGAGGATGTTTGGCTCCTTTGTTAAAGATGAGGTGGCTGAGTGTGTTTGGAGTGTCTAATCAGTTCCAGTGGTCCTCGAGTCTGTTTCTTTGTTAGTGGCATGCTGTTTCCTCATAGGGACTTTGTAGTTTAGTTTCAAGTTGGGGATTGTGATACCCACTACCTTGTCTTTATTGCCTAGAATTGTTTTTGCTATTTGAAGTCTATTCTTGTTCCAAATTAATTTTTGGGTTATTTTCTCAAGGTCTGTGAAATATGCTGCTGGATTTTCAATTGGGATCACACTGAATCTAGATATCAGTTTTGGAAGTATAGCCATTTTCATTATGTTGATTCTTCCTACCCAGGAGCAAGTGATGTCTCTCCACTTTCTGATATCCTCTTCAATCTTTTTTTTCAGAGTGCTATAGTTTTCATAGTAGCAGTCTTTGATTTCTTTTGTTAGGTTGATTCCTAGATATTTTAATTTTGGGGATGTTACTGTGAAAGGAATTGTTTGCTGTTGGGAACAGGGAAAGGGGACATTGTTAGAACCTCTGCATCAGGTCCTAGTCTCCTGTGAGCCATGACAGCAAAAGGAGAATTAATTAATATATAGACAGAAAATAAGAGTCTAGAGAAGAAGCTGAGTTTTGGCCTGATCCATGCTACTCTGGGAGACAAAGTATCCCCAACCTGGAACTTTCCATATCTTTATTCAGAACATTAGCACAAACAAAAGTAGCAATTGACTCCCTGGATGATCCTAGAAAATGAAGAACTATGCTCATGAAGATTTGGTTTCTCCCAGGATGTTTCCAGCTGATGTAGTCCTACCCTGCAGAATCACAGCATTACAGGACCATTGAAGTCTTAGCTGTAACTGGAGGCAAAAATGCCATAGCTGGACTGTAGACTGGAAAAATAGGCCCTAATCATAGTTTAATTGTGAAATGAATTTCCCAAAAAATCAAAAAGAATTGCTCCTGACAGTTTACCCCATTTCTGTTTTTAATGTATAGGAAAGCTATTGATTTTTTGTGTGTTGACCTTGTATCCAGATACTTTACTGAATTTGGTTATTAAGCCTAGAATACTTTTGGTGGAGTTTTTAGAGTTTATACATAGAGTATCATGTCAACTGCAAATAATAACAATTTAACTTCTTCATTTCCTATCTTTAGTCCCTTTATTTCTTTCTCATATCTAATTGCTCTGGAGTATTGATAGTTAATATTCTTGTTTTTTTCCTTAGTGTGAAGGATTTCAGTTTTTGAACATTTAGTATAATATTGACTGTTGGTTTTTCATAGATGGCTTTTATCAGATTGAGGTATAGACTGTCCATTCGAAGGTTTTGTAGGGTTTTTATCATAAATTCATGTTGGATTTTGTCAAATGCTTTTTCTGCATCTATTGAGATGATCATATGGTTTTTGTAATTGGCTCTATTAATATAATGTACTACATTTATTGGTTTTCATATGTTGAACCATCCCTGCATTCCTGGGATGAATCCCACTTAGGAGGAATGATGCTCTTAACGATCTTCTACATTCTATTTGCCAGTATCTTATTAATGATTTTTGCATCTCTGTTTAGTAGTGGGGTTAGCCTATAGGTTTCTTTTTGGGTTGTATCTTTCTCTGTTTTGGGGATCAAGGTAATGCTTGATTCCAGGCATGAATTTGGGAGTATTGCTTCCCTTTAAATTTCATTGAAGAGTTTAAACAGTAGTGGCTGCAGTTCCTCTCTAAATGTCTTGTAGATTAGATTTCTGCTCTGATGTTTATAATTTTCTCCCTTGTATGAGCTTTGGGTTTATACTGCTGTTCTTTTTCCTTGTCACTAATTGCATTGTGGTCTTCTATCTGAAATTCTGTCCTCACATTGGGTCATTCTTCTGTGTAAAGTTTCAATGCAGCTTTTAATCTCCTGGAAATCTATTTTATGGATTCCATTTATTTCCTATGTTTGGATTCAGTCATGCTCCTCAGTTCCTCTATTTGTTTTTTTCTGTGTCTGCTCTAGTTTTATTAATCATGTCTTGCACTAGGGGCACAATCTCTGCTGTTATTTTAAAAACTATTTCTAATTTCATTTTTTTCCAGACCCTCTTTCATTGCCAGATCAGGGAGTTCAGGTGGTTGAGTGTCATATTGCTCCATCCCATTTCCCTTTGGGGTTTCCTTAGGTGATCTGGAAGCCTGGCTTTGAGACTTGTTTATGTGTCTTCTCATTTCAACAGATGCAACCTGCTATGCCTTTGTTGAGTCAACTTTTTGCTCACCCACTAGTTTTTAATTTTTAGCAAACCATTGAGAAGCCTTTTTTCTGCTGCTCATCAGTACACCAATTCCTGGGTTCAGAATGGTGGTGTTCTGGATCCCTGGCTGACCTGTTGACTGGGAAGGCTTCTGGCTGGGACCTCTGCACCTGTGGGATGATATCAAGGCATGCCTTTCTCTGGGGCCCCTGTGTAGCTATTGTCTGGGAGGGCCTTTGGCTGGGGGCTGTGCACTCCAGTTCCTGTTGTCTAAACAGCCTTCTGGCTAGGGTCTCTGTGCATTTATCAAAGGTATTTGTGCAAGCCTCTGGCTGCTTCTTGTGCACCTGTGTAGCTCTTTTCCAGGTGGACCCTTGGCTGTGACCTGTGTGCCCAAGCCACTGGGGTTGTGGCAGGGCCCTGGCTGGAATCTACACTCAGGAACACTGCTGTGGTCCACACCAGTACTCCCAGGGATCTGCCCACAGTTACTGATGCCACGGGGTGAGACTCTGGCTGAAGTTTGTGTTTCTGTGCAGGTTTTTCTGGATGTGCCTTTGGCTTGGATGGGTGTACCCTAGCCTCTGATATTGGGCAGGAGCCCTGGCTGGTATCTGCCTGCAGCCACAATGCTCTGAGAACCACATATTTGCATCTGTTTACAGAAAAATGAAACGGGATGCCAAACTATATAATTAGTGTTAAAGCAGTCTTTTTATAAACCACAAAGTTGAAGGTCATTGTGTGTGTGTGTGTTTGTGTGTGTGTGTGTGTGTGTTGAGAGAGAGAGAGAGAGTAGTGTAGGCATTCAGAGTATAGAGGAATGAGTGGATTGGTATATAAACGATGATTGAAGTTTAAGGATGTAAAGAATAAAGAACACAAAGCACATTTTACCTCTGACTTCCTCAGCCTTCAACCAGAGCACACCAGATCACAGTAATTTCAATACTAATCCCAAACAACAATAGAATTACAGAAAGTTTACACTAATGAAATGCAGAATGTAAATAGAAAAGTTCCTTTCAGATCTTTACTAAGAAGACCATTTTTTGTTCTCAAAAATCCAGCCTTCCCATTGATATAGAAACATTCTTTCCAAGTACAGTGACATAGACAAATCTCATAGCTTCCAATTTATTTCTCAGCTCTGACAACTCCAAATCTTTTATACGTTCTGTATAATTTCTTTAGTGCCATTCACCTAATAAACAAAAACAATAAAAACATATGGATAATTCTATGTACTGTATGTATACTGCCAGGCTTAGCTTCTTCTTCTTCTTTTTTTGTTTTACTTATCTCCTTTTGAAAGAAATCCAATGATATAATTAGAACATACTTTGGTAGCTAAATTAGCTGAATTTTAGGCTTTGCTGTGCTTAACTTTTAAAAAGTATATTTAATGTGACAATAACAGATTTTATTTGTATTTTGAGATTCTTCAAATGAAAAATCAGGGTTCTGGTTTAATGCAGA